TTGTGCTCATTGGTAATTAAATGACCGTTGTCACCTTGGATGTTGTGCCGTGTAATGTGGTAGAAGTTTGAAGACTTTTCGGAGCAATATACTGCCTCCATCTTCAGGGTCGAAGAATAAACCAAGCAGAAACTGGAACCCTCGTTGCTTCCCGATTGCTGGGCTTACTCTGCAACCCCGAAGATGTATGTAGTGCATTCCTCTAACGGCTGTAAACTACCACACTTCACTGCATAATATCCGAGAAGATATAATTCTAGGTCTATTCCCCATAGTGACCGCCCTGAAAAACTCAAATTTCATACAGTATTTGCTTGTTGTAAGATTGTACTCTCTTGTCTGCTTCTAACCTGAATGAGATCTTGCCTTGGAGAAAGGAATATCTTTCTTGGTATGGTAATACGACCGTAGGCCTTTTCCTTTCCATCTTTACTGGATATTCAATTATGAAAGAGTCACTTTGCAGGCACAGCGCATGCTGTCTCTACCGAAACACAACACTGTCGATTTATTCCTCTCTTTGGGATGTCATTTATTCATAAGATGAGCTTGCCTCCCCATCTCCTCACACGCCCACAATATATAGCCAGCCCACAACTTGGTGAACCTTCCTTGTGCCCAGCTAAACAATTCCCAGATGGGAACAGTGTATTTCTCCCATGTTCCACCTCGTTTCCCCTCTGGCAGGTGAAACATGTTTAAAATTATATACTCTCGATAGGAAATACTTTGCAAGTTCCAAATTTCACATAGATGTGATATATGTCTGTGTGTACCCTATGATTGTGAGACAAGTGAGATTTCGAACTTGATATATGCGCAAGAACTTTGTGTTAAGAGTAAGTAGGGTCATCACGATGATGGGTACTCAGCGGTGAAACTTTGGTAGTCTTGTTACAGGAGTACTTAAGACAATGAGGAGAACTTACTAGTGAAGTAACTGTGTTACAGTGGAGTCCCGATTTTTAATGATTCCTGGCCCTGCCTGCGTATGTTATAGAAATCTGCAGCTCGAGCAGAAGAATGCAACGCTGTTGTCTGATCTTTATTTCAAGTCCAGGCATCTGTTCGCAAATACAACCGTGACAGTTTGGCAGTGTAACTATTGGAAAAGAAACATAAACTGGCCACAAGCCTGGTCAACGTTGTGTTCTCTAGTTTTTAGAATACCGGACGATGGACAGAGTCCAAAAACCTAGTAATTATTATTATTATTATTATTATTATTATTATTTAAACTGCAAATGGGTTTTCGCCCGGTAGCAGTGGTACTACAATAAGACACAACACAAATATAACGCATCACACAAAATAATACACCACACTCAAAGAAAACACAGCACACAAAACTACAGAAACAACAAAGGATACACTAGCACACAGTAATCTATACTTAGTTGTACTATACCACAACAAATAAATCGCAAGCTCTTTACTTCCGGCACGTTATACAGGTTCCGGTCTTGACTTAAATCGAGCCCTAACTCAGACAGTTCCGATCGGTTGGTTGCAATGTTTCGCCGTACTTGCCTTCAAATAATGTTAAAGTGCTTCTCAATACTGCTGGCCAACAGTAATACGAGTAAGAAAGAATATATATTCTGGTATTCAATTAATCCTTAATACCCGAACTGATAGTACTTTTATGCACGAATGCGCGGAAAATTGCCTCATAACATGAAAAATGCAGTCCTATGTACGCATGCACGCGCGGGAATCCATTGAAAGCTAAGGGCGGCCGCACACCAACTGCGTCAAGACAAGAATCAAGACATTAGACAAAAGACGCATCATTCGTGATTCGTCAGCATCATGACTCAGACCGGTGTGCGGTGGTTTTCATAATCTCATTCGTTTCAACTGTGCTCCTTTCTTTGCATCATGTCACAGACATCGTGTCTTGACTTTTACATGTCTTGACGCATGCCGGTGTGCGGCCTACATAACAGCTTATTATTTGGGTGAATCCTGTTCAGTTATTAATATTTGCATGTCTGCCTTATGTTACTGATCAGCCAAATTTATAATTTTACCATTTATTGTAATCATTTGTACGGATTTTATAACCATTGAACGCTCGTGAATCTGTAATTACAGTTAGCCCGACATATTTCGATTTTACGATCCATTCTGAAGGGCATGTGTTGCACAATTAGCAAGCTGTTACAGATGTTGCATTATATAGAAGCGAAACTGATTTTAATTAATTCCAAAAGCATATTTTGTCTATAAACCCCCATTTTTATACTACTAAAAATGTTAAAATAACTTATGAATTCCTTATATGGTATATAACTTCAGATATAGCTTTATATATAACATATTGTTAATACTTTTCTTGTTGGTTTTGTAGTCCAAGTCTATATGAGGAGATCTCATATCCTATTCGTCTGTTTTATTCACAATATTTTGGTCTTGGTTTTTGATTTTCCAGTATATTGGTACGAATGGAGTCTTGAACAAACTATAGGTAACATATGGGTCACCCATGTCAGAATGCTTCAGAAGATTGATAGTATACACAAGGTGTAATGCAACGTGTTCATGGTTTCTGAGCAATAAATTATGTATGAGCTCCAATGCACACAGTGTGATGGTGGTTGTAGTAACGGAATCCCCTTGGACCTACTAATCATAGGGGCGAAATGGCAGATTTAGGTTCTCCATTAAGTAGATTGCTCTGAGGAGCAGTACACAGAGAACCTCCTGTCTCACACAGCCTCTTGGGGGTTTTGCTGCAACTTGCCCCCACTTTTTTTTTTATCATTTCTTCCCTCCCATACCATCTTTTCTTTCTATTTGATTCATGTTATTTTCGTTTTCACTTTTTAGTTAAGTAGATCTCGTGGAGAACAACTGAGTAAAGCTTATATACTAAAACAGAATTTTGTTTTTAAGAAAAAATGTAGGTGATTTATCGTTGTATGAGATTATAAAAGGATACGATATAGCGACGGACTCCGAGCTGGACGGCTGGGGTTCGATTCCCGGCAAGGGAAAGGATTTTTCTGTACTACACAGCGTCCAGAACGGCTCTAAGGTCCATGAAACCACCTGCCCTCTTTTACTGGGGATAAAGCGGCCAGGGCTTGAAGCCGACCCCTGTCCTCCATCTAGTGCCGAGGTAAAGCTGTCATTTCCCTATACGTCTTCGTGGCGTGATGCGTAATCAATTAGGCACAAGGACGACTTTACTTTTACCTTATGAGCTGATAATGCTGAGGATAGAATTCGGAGGAAGGCTGTTGTACAACAATCCTTGCACTAACAGCACGGCACACCAACTTTCACTGGATGTGGCGGGACTTCTGGGTTAAATGTGGGCGCCTGTAGTGATCACGCATCATGGGAAATGAATGTCAGTTGCGGATCGCTCTCACATTCGACGAAAAACTGTAGAAACCAACTGAAAAAATTAACCCTTCTAGCTGGATCGCGCGGCTGCAAGGCGTGAATTACTGTTGTTTTATAGGGTCTACGCTTCAGCAATTGTGTTGCCGTTCTTGCGCTAGGCTTCAACACTCCCATCTCTTGAACTAGACGTTTCAGTTATTTTTTTAGGTGTATGTTCAAGTCGTGCCCCAATGTTATCTAACTTGTCAGTAAGCGCTCGACGCTGAAGTCTTTGTTTCTTGTATGTTAAGAGTCTCGTTGTCTGAAGTTTATTCACCAAATTATGAATTGTTTGACTACTGGGATCTCTTTCATCACGAAATGTACATCGAAATTTTCGCCCGACATTTTCTAGCAGATCCGCATTTCACGTAGATGTCATACAGAACTACACGTTGCTCTAAAGTATACCGCACTATGACGCACCACACTACTCGGTAACTGTAACTGAGAACAAATGGCTAATGAAGCTTACAACTGCTGACAAATCAGAAAGTCCCACGCATGAACCGCACTGCTCGCCATGAAACATAATGCCGTCAAGCGGTCCACAAGTTAATTACATCCTCTCATCCCAAACGTTATCTGCCATCAGGCATACTGATTCAGCGGCAAAATTTGTATGCGCATCGCGGCAAGCAGCGCACCGGTCGCCGTGAAACGCAGAGCCGTGAACTAGTCAACAAAGTTAAAAACTCTCTGTACATGTGCAGAAGACTAGTGTGCTGCATTTTAGTCATGAGGGCTGGTCTCAGAACTGCACTGTTTGTAAATTTTCTGACTCATTCTGCCATGACAAATATGGGATTGGCTATTAACTGTGTTAAGAGGGAAAACAAAAGTATGGGTCTGGGTATATCTGTACTCGAGTGGACTACGATTTCATGACATGTGAAATACTGAAAGGGAGAAGAAGGAACAGGGAAGATGAAGCTAATTGTCACAGTTTTCATCCACATGAACTGTTCTTAACCTAACCTGAAGCGATGCATGTTGCATTGCTGAGTCTTAGTTTGGCATTTCACAACCTCATCCTTCACTGCACCCATACAAGGGGAAATATTTTAATTTCTTCTGGTGTGAGAATGAAGAAGAATATCTTATAGTTGACATTGACATTACCAAATTCTTTGTATTTTCAGTTTCATTGGTCTTCATTATTCCTGTACCTCTTGGCAATACTCTGATAACTACGTTATCCTGTCTCATACATGTATGTTATCCATTATAATTCACAAGTGTCCATCTGTATGGCATGCCTTGTATGCCTTGAACAGTATGTAAAACGAATGGACATTATTATTTAGTTAAAAGCAATAATGGTCAGACTGAAGAGCCTCACAAGAAAAATTCTTTAATAAAAAAATTATTAAATTGCTCTCAGTTATCGCACTGACTGAACATGTTTTATTCATATGCAAAAATACATAAGACTGACAGCTGATCAGTGGCAATGTGAGCTTGGACACATGCTGTCTTGGACCACTCAGACATTGGCATTATGCATTCAGGTCGTCCAGCACTGTATGTCATTGAATCCACAACATGGTGTGTTTCATTTAATTTATTTTGAAGCAATGAGAAGCCATGATGCTGTTCTGTTATAGTCTGACATCAAGGGCTGCCAAAAGAAGCTTGTAGAGCAGCTGACACAACACATTCAAGAGTCTCCAGGCCCTCCTACACGCAAGCTGATTGCCCGTTGCCTTGCCACGCTGTTTAGTGTGGGTGATACCTTTCTTCTGTTTGACACAGTCAACAAGTGTAATGATATCCTCAAGAACAAGGATGACTCGCCCAGCTTTCTTCCTACTCGGCTGTGAGTAACAAAATAATGATTGCTGAAAGCAGTTAATGTGACGTGAAAGCAGTTAATGTGACATGAAAGCAGTTAATGTGACGTGGAAGCAGTAGAAAACTTTTGAATTGCAAAAGTAGGAATATTGTTCAGTAGGTAATTTAACAACACGGAATCAACTACAAATATTATTTATTGTTGAAAGACTTTGGTGAATGATTATGTTGATAGGTATTAGAGAAAACTGATTGATTTCAACAGGATTCATTGATGTTTCAACTGTAATATACATCGAGATGGGGAAGTGATAGTGTGTGGTAGGTAGGTAAACATTTGAGAGGAGGTTATCACGTTTTATTTGAAGATACTCACATGGCATTTTCCACAACAGACTGAGGAAGTTAGCCAAAAAGAACTGTCTGTAATAATAGCTGTCAGCATAGCCATGATTTGACTTGGTGATCTGAATAGACATTTTGGTCACTACCACTGCACTGACTTGCATAATAAAATCACCACCTAGGAGGACTTCACAAAATTTATAATTAAAGTTCAATTTAATTTAGCCTACAATCTTATGTGACCCTCCAGATAGTATATTGTGTTGTACCAATGTACTTTTTTTATGAACCATAGTAACATTTATCCTCAGTAGTACGCAATCCAGAAGCTCTAGAATAGGAGAAAGAATTGCTTCTGTCACTTCACTTCCTAAGGATAAAATTGAATGTATAACTTCAGCTTTTGGGAATAAGCTACAGAGAATGTAGAAAGTTTTTCAACATTTCAGCAAACAGTTGCCAAGTTTTCATTTTTTATCACCTCTCTCTATGGCCACCTGGTCTCCAAGAAACTTTTCATCAGCTCTTTCTCAACCACATGTCCCCCCCACGATTGTGTAACACCTCATTTCTCTGTTTCTTTCGGTCAGGATTTTACCTTACATACATTGTCCTATGTCAGATCCATCCAGACACAGACTTAGCTTCTTTCGGAAACATAATTCTGAAGATGGCAGCTGCAGTATTTGCCCAAATGTTGGAGGACCTACAGCATTCTTTGTGGCTTATTCCTAAAAGACCAGATTACAGATTAGTATCCTGCTGTGAAGACCTGTGAACAAGCAAATTTAAGGTGTATGATATAGAATAACATGTTCAATGTAAACTAGTCTGAAACATGTTTTAAACAAAATTTGTAAAATTCAGTGACACCATGTATTCAGACAAATGACCTTTCAAACTTAATGTGGAATTATTTCTTAGTTTCATAGAGTTCTGATCTGCTTCGCTCAGTAAGAATATTCTTTCCCAGTTTACTGAGTTCTGCATAAAACCTTGTCTGTTTCAGTTTAGGCAGTCCAGTAGTCTGGAGAGTATTTAAGTGCATGACTTTGTTATTGTTACAGAGGAAACCTATTACTTTGCTCTGTGTTTGCCAATACTCATCTGATTTTCAGAAAATTTTGACATAAAAACAATATTTAATTCTTTCCCATTGAACAGGCTGGTATATTGGTAATGTTTTAGACTCATTTTGGCCAGTATAGTTGGCTGATTAAGCCACAACTGCTTCCTTCCAGTTCTTTTTTCACCTGCCATCCTACCATTTTATGCTAGTCATGGATTGCTGACAGTGTCATAAAATGAACAACAACAGGTCTCCTCACCAGAATTCTGTGTGCATTTCCTGTTATCTCCTTTTATTCCAGCCTTACTCAATCCACTTGTCTTCAGCATTCCTTACATGCTTCATCCCAGTCTGGTCCAGATATTTTTATGGTTACTTTACTCATATTTAACACAGTTAACATGTCTTAATTTTATCAGTTTTAATTATTTGTTAATTTTGTTTCATGTAAATTGTGTGATTTGTTTTCTCAGATGTAAGGTTTCCCTAGTTTCTTCTGTTCCCTCTGGAAAAATGTTGGAAGAACATCACAATATATACTACCACTTCAGATCCCCAATTCACAATCACAGTTCCTTTTCTTATTCAGTGCTATATGACCTCTGTTCTTTAGTCACTGCCATTAAATAATTTAAGAATGAAATACAGGTTGATTAAAAGTGGTTTTCCTTTCATTATAATAAGAAATGTGAGTTGTTTTTCTTGCATTATATTACAGTTTGGTATAATGTGCAGAAGTTGTGTTATGTAAGAAGAATCATGGTAGATTTCAATGAAGATGCATGAGAATACGAAATTATGGGCTAGTTAGGGCACTTATCTTATTTTTTGGAACATTTGGGGGAAATTATGGAAAAAGTTCAGGATAGCAGGTTTTTCAGCCATAATTCAAACCATGAATCTACTGATTACATATAACCCATAGAGTTACAATTATGTTCCATCATTAGAGCTTTGTGATTGTAGGGTGTAAGAGATATTGTTTGTCTAGCAGTGAGAATAGGCTATTACTCACATGCAAATGATGGTGCAGAATATAGCAAAACTTGTGCAGCTTCCCCAGGTACATTACAGTTTGAAAGTCATATGCATGGACATTGTTCAACCCTTTAATGCTAACTCTCAGAATACCTGAAATATGTTTGAAACAGTTTGTCATTACATGATTCTAATAATTTCTTCATCCATATGCTTTACAAAACCAGTCATGTGCATTTCTAGCAACACACTTCATATCACCATTATGAAACATAAAACAAAAACTTTTGGAGCATGCTACACTGGATTATATTATTGTTAAATCTGTATTCAGTACTGTTGTCTGAACAAGAATGAATTGCTTTAATACCTTCTAAGCTACAAATAGATTATAATTTGTGACAGACTTTCTAAGCTACACAGCTGCATTACAGCCCTGTGTGAGAAGGCACAAAAATTTTACTTTTTATGGGTGATATATAATGGGAAGTAAAGGCCAGTAAGACAACATACTGATTTCTTAATGCTAGATGCACTATATAAATATTTTTGTGTTATTAGATACATAATTTTGTCACAATAAATGTCTTCTGATTAATCCTGTTCCCCTTTCCTCTTAAAGACATTGGAGATGGTTGGTTGGTTTATATGTCATTTGTCAGTGAACCAGTGGGTGAACCAGTAAGCAGCTTGTGGCAGAAAAGTTTTAGGGACAACATGTTTTTACAAACTTTTTTAAATGTAAATATGAAAAGTAATTTCTGCTGCTCTTTTGTTCATATCATAATCATTAATTGGCATTAAACTAAACATATTATGGAGCAATGTAAATAAAACAGTTTTAAGAACTGTGATACCTGTGACAGTTTTCATCTCTGTATCTGGGACTTTTATGGTATTAATTGTGACAAAATTTTGGATAGGCATTAATAGTGGCAGAATTTCTCACCAGCCATCAGCATTGATAATTGAAACAGTAGCAGAAATCTTCAGAACTTTTGCATGTGATATGAAAATGTATTTTATTTGTCTGAATTGCCCATAACTTTTATACAGGGCAGCCATTTGTTGTGTGGGATGCATGTATGAGAAGTTGGGCCGGATGATGGGGCGATCGTATGAAGAAACTGTTCAGATCCTCATCAAATCCCTGAGAAATGCAGAATCACAGACACGTATTGAAATAATGGCCACTTTGGAAAAGGTAACCTTTTTTATTGGCTCACTTACCCAGTATACAGTGAATTTCATTCTGGGTAAGATTGAACCTAAAAGTTTAAGTTTTCGTATGTAACATCTTTAACTGGTACCTTGAACCTGTCAGTTGTGGCCTGCTGCATGGAATATTAAGAGTGATGAATACTATGGGCATGTAAATGTCTTTGTCTTTATTGTAATGTTAGTCACATGCTTTTTGCATTTAATGTTATCTTCACATTTACAGTGCACTGTTTCCCTTATTGTCGTAATTTCCGAATTATAAATAACAAGAACTGTCATAATTTGAATTCTACTGGTAGTACAATACACTTGAGAGGTTAAGAATTGGGAAATTTATCTCCATTTTATTGCAATATTTCTCTCTTTTCCTTCGTCCATCCTTTTTCGCTTCCTTTTGTTCATTCATTCATAAGTTGTACAGACAGGTTTATAATAAATACATTCTTATTTCTACCACAGAATTATGTCCCAAGGAGGAGAACACAGAAATAAAATAATAAATGTTAACATTTTTATATCATCTTGAAATTATAAAACCATCATTTTGAACAAGAGATTACCAGAGTCTGAAGGGGTTCAGCAGAAGAAAAATAATGTACCCCATTATCCCTGTCTTTCCCATCAGTAGGTTTGTACATACAATAAATTAGCATAAAGACTATTTACAGAAATCTAATTGCAAAGAAAGCCATCCAGTTATTCTCATTTCTCACTCATGTATCTTCCCTCCACATGATCTCTTCTGTTTGTCCTTGGTGATGTCTGTATCATTTAACTTTATTTTTGGACCCACTGGAAAGCTGTTTCATTCCATGCGTAATGTGTGGCCATTCTGTTATCCTGTTTCACAAGACCCTCTTTGCAATTAGGTCTCTCCAGATAAGTTTTAATGTTCATTTATTTCAGAAAAAACCCTGTTTTTGAGAAAGATAATCAAGAGTTCTCTCTTCTGTAATATAGTGCCATGTAGTCTTATGAAAGCCGGCTGATGTTTCAGAGGAACATATCACCTCCATCTTCAGAGTCAGAGAGTAAGCCAAGGAAGAAACCACCATGAAGCATACAGCAAGCAGACTCTGCAGTACATTCCTCTGAAACTTCAGTTGACTTTCAGCAGACTACAAAGCATTATATCCCAGAAAATACAACTCTTCATAACCATCACATCCTACATAGAAGTAAAGGGTGTCATTATCATCATCATCATCATCATCAGTAATCTGTCAGACGACAGGTCCACAGTCTCTTCCAAAGCAATTCCTCCACTTAATGCAATCTAGAGCTTTCTCCTTCAAATGACAGTATCCTCTTCCGTCCCCAAGGTCATCCAGCATCTTCTTACGTCTTCTTCCTCGTCTTCTTGTCACTTCTATCCGCCCCTCTATCTTTCCTTCAATAACTTCTTTTAGAAAGCAGTTTCTGCGTAAAACATGACCAATCCAATTAGCCTTCCGTTTTCTTATTTTGTGTAGGATATTCCTCTGCTCACTGACTCTAATTAACACATCTTCATTTCTCACATAATCGGGCCAACTGATCTTCTCCATCCTTCTCCAACACCACATTTCGAAACTTTCCAGATGTTTCTGATCAACTGCCCTAAGTGTCCATGTTTCAGCCCCATACAGATCTATGCTCCAAATGTAGCATTTCACCAGTCTTCCTCAAATTTAAGTCCAATTTGCTGGTAAAAAGATTCTTCTTCTTGCTAAATGCAGCTTTTGCCATGACAATCCTGGATTTAATTTCACTAGTACACCTTCCATCATCTGTTAACAAGCTACCCAAATATTTAAAACATTTCGCATTCTCCATTGATCATTATTTCAGTATAGTTTTTTGGGCACTTTCAGTAGCTTCTAGTTTTGATCAATGGAAATATGGTGAAAATGGTTCTTTATTTTAATAACATTATGAATTTATATTTCCACTGACCAAACTTCTGTTACTTCATGCATTCCATTTAAGCAATGGTCCATTGCTTAAATGGAATGCATGAAGTAACAGAAGTTTGGTCAGTGGAAATATAAATTCATAATGTTATTAAAAAGAAAATCCATTTTCACCATTTCAGTGCATTTTATTGAAAGGAAACCGAGGGGAAATAACAGAAATGTTTCACAATACATATATACAAAAGCATATTGAATGAATTACTGATTGCTTGATTTTTACAGGTTTGTTCTGGCATGGGAAGTGCCATTTCCAATGTGCATAAAGAAATATACAAGGCAGCTCGTCATTGCTTGACAGATCGTGTAATGGCTGTGAGGTGTGCTGCTGCTAAGGTATGTTTATTAGTCATTTATTATGTACATTTCTTTTTGAAAGAGATAATTTGCCATTGCTTTTTTTCCTATGGTCATAATGTCAACCAAAAAATTAATTTTTATTTACCATATATCCAGAGTATAGTAGGAACTGAATGACCATTAGCGCAGCCTATAAGTGATTGCCTGAATGTTACTTATTTGTACTTGACTTATCATGTGTTTGGGTCTAGAAAACCGAAATTAATGGCCATGGGGATTTGTTGAGCTGACCATGCGACACCCTCTATCTGCAAAAGTTGGCACTAAACTTCGCCGACAAGGGGTGGTCGCTTGATCGGCATAGTTCGCTTACGGACTGAAACCACAGAGTTTTTTTTTTTGTGGATATAGAGTATATTACTGCTTTAGCCATGTATTTTTGAGAGGTTTTAATCAATGCCTGGTATATTAAAAATAGGTCATAAACACATCCAACCATCCATTTTTCTCCCAACTAGATGTACAGTTGCGATTCATGGTTACCTGCTTATTTCATTTTACACTTCATAGTTCTTGCATTTTGCTGTGACATGTAACACGTACATTTGTATGGTCAACCTGTATAATTTGTTTTGGAATTTAATGATTTTGAACTGTGTAAAATATGTATATAGGAATATAATATGTGCCAAGATATAAATTCTAAACCTCCAGAATTTGTTAGGTAAGAGCACATTTTTACCACATAAAATCCTACACATATTTGGCCAGCTGTCTTCATTGTTTTACGGTGGTGGTCAGTTTCCTTACATGGTACTGTATGGTCTCAGGAATCAGGGGTTTTCGTTTTTCTGTATAGAGGCTTATGTCATTGTACGAGTATTTTGTCTGAGATAATATCTTCATTGGTATGGTTTACGGTGTAAAAGAAATATTATGTGCTTTTCCATTTTTATTATTGTAGTTTTTGCCTTTGCTCTCTCTCCAGTTAATTGTCATATAATTATTATACTAAATATTTGTTATGTAAAAAAAATGGAAAACTGACTTAACAGATATTCATACAAGGACTAAACATAAAACGAAATTTTCCATGAGGGAAAATATTTTACGATAATTTTTAACCTGTTTTTGTGAGGCTTTACTGTATCTAATTCTGTGTTATGTTTTTACATTTATGTTAAAATATAACTTCATGGAATTCTATATTTTTCATAATTCTTTTTACATTTCAGTGTCTGCTAGACATGTTGAACCACGCACCATTTCTCTATACAACAGAGCTAGAAAGTCTGGCAACACTGTGCTTCCGAGCATTTGATGGTTCCAATTATGAAGTTCGATGTGCTGTCGCAAAACTATTGGGGACTTTAATAGCGACCACGCAGCAGACACAGAAAGGAAATCCTGCAGGTAAATAACAATGTAACCTGCCAGTGTACCAAATAATTCCCTTCATATAGCAGTAATGCAATGCAAATGAAATTTTCATGTTTATGATTTTTGTGTTTCAGCTTTCCTCAGAAATCTCCTTATTTAATGACTTCATGCACTTAATGTAATTATTGCACAGATTTGTAACTTATGTATTACATTAATTGAGTAGTAGCAGTGATTCTAATTTCCTTGTATATATAGGAGTTGACTTGTAAGACAAAACTATTATTATTTCTCTCATTGAATAGCCGATATAAATCTTGCATAGGTCTATCCTTAGGCTTTCTATATATAAGTTTTATTGTTATTGTAATACAATTTATAATACAGTAGCAAGTTATTATGGTCAGCTGGTGCTCATCTCCCAGTGCCTGCTCAAGCTTTCATCATCCCAAGTAAAAGGTAGGGCAGATAATTGATTATTCAAACCCGAGATTTGTGGGTCATTTAGTAATTAATGACATGTAAAATTAAAGCCACTGCTATATCCATGTACTGTGTCATGATTGCTGTAGAGCTGCGATTGTGATAAAAGTATATTTAGCATAATTAATCGCAGAAGTTCTTTATCAGCTTTCTGTTTAAAACAATTTCTGTGACCCAAGGCTTCCATTTTGGATTGTCTTTTGTCGCTATATTTTTGTAATTAAAAGTCATATTATTAATTTCCATAGCCCATCAGAATAAAGGCTTTAAACCCATTTCCTTAGAAGAGGCCTTGGGAGTGTTGATGTCTGGCTTTCTAAGAGGAGGTGTTGGGTTCCTTAAGGGGACTGGAGAAATGATAAAAGGGAGCTCTGGTGTCAATAGGGAAGTTCGTGTCGGTGTCACACATGTAAGTACAGATTGCAAATGCATTATTTTTGACAGGAGCAATTGCAAGAAATTTATAGCTGCTTACTGAAGGAAATGGAAAGCTTTCTAAAACTTGTTGTATTTTACGTTTAATTTCTTTAGTTCTTACTGGTTCACTGTTACTTCAACATGAAATGTGCTCACTGTTGTTTGTCTTTCTGGAGTGTTCTGAGCGTCTCTATAACAGGCTGTCAGATTGAAAGAGTCTGAGTTTCCAAATAGCCATAGTTAGAGACTGTTTTAAAGACAATACCAAAGAATATTTAAATACTGAACAGAAATGCAGAACACACAGAAGAGAATTTGTATGATCACTCTAAAATCATGTAGATTTGTTTTGCTGATGTTGTAATGATGGTACTAGAATGAAGTTAAAACCTACAGTTTGGCTTTTAATGTATGTGCAAAACAACAGTTTTACTTCATATTGTGTTCTTCATGTAATCTGCTAGGTAATCACTTCTGCCTTGAAGATGGTAGTAGTATGTTCATGTGAAATGTTGGTAACCACATACCATATTTGTTGAAATTCTCTAAGGACAGCTGGTTATCCCATATCGTTTTCATAGAATGTAACCCAACATGTTATTTGTTACCATTTCTTTGAGAGAATTTAAGCCTTCCTACAGCCAGCACTTATATTTCTGTACAAGCTAATGAGTTAATTGTTTCATTTTGATGACTTTTAAGTAGATTGATGGTACTAACATCTACAACATAAATTATTTACCTTACATACCAACTTAAAATTCTAATGTAAACAGTTTTGATCGTCATAACAAAAAATTGTACAACTCAGAGAAAAACGGTCACAAAATTAAACGTTCATTAGATGTTGTTGTTGCTGCTCTTGTTAATGTCCTGTCTCTTGGTTTAGCTTCTGTTCGCTTCCTCACATCCCAGCGATTATTAACTCTTTCAAGCATGAAATTTACCTGAATAATATTTGAAACTTAATTTAACTCTTCTACTGCAGCTGCATTACAAAGACCAACTAAGTAATACTGTTGAAGGAAATAATTGTTATATATACCAAGAATCATACAAAACACATAAATACACTTCGGTTAATGTAGTAACCACTGAACTGTAAATGGTTAATTCTGAATGTAGATCTCTAATGATTTTAGATGTGTTGTAATGTTGTAGAATTTGGATCTGACACAGGAAAATTTGGGGATGGATAGACAGATAGTCTTTGTAGACGTGCACCTATACAGTTCTTACACCTTTTCCTGCTTTCCTTCTGTGCTCCTCTGCCATTATGTTTAGAATATTTTTAGCAACAAGCAGTTTTGATGAGTGGAAGAAAACAACCTCTTGGAAGTCCTAGATATAGATGGGTGGATGTTAAAATTTATCTTGAATAAATGAAATGTAAAATGTGAACAAGATCTATTTGGCTGTCGATAGAGACCAGCTTGTATGGACACATTTTGCTTCCATAAAAGATGGAGAATTTCTCCACTGTTCGAGGGACTGTTAGTTTCCACAGAAGGATTCTTCTTTGTGGAGTTAGGAGGAAAAGAACACTGTTTTACAGTTGTCTGAATAGTGTACCTCATTATGCTAATAAATTTGCTTATTCATTACTTTGTATGCCTTAGTGTGAAGGTGTCTAATGCAACCATACCATTGCTATACAACCTATTTAAATGAAATTAATTTTATTAATTAGAAATTTTAATTTTTCACAATGAGATGCAATAAACGAGTGTAGTAAGACATGGATCTATTCTTGCATGTAAGAGTTAGCGTCTTCCCACACGTGCAGCAGAAACAGGAAGACACCCCTGTTGCGGGGTTCTTAGAAATTTTACATGAAAGTGTAACTACAAAATCTTTTGTGAATTCAATCCTTGACAGCTTGTGCATGCCATAACTTAAAATAGTGAAGTTTTAATTACCCAAGCCAAGCTTCACATTTGTCAAGATTCTGACAGGAAGTACATTGGAGCTCAGAAACCTAAACTCATTGTAATCTTTAAACGGAGTGGAGGAATAGCTAATTAAGATACTCCTATTTTTTAAATGTAACCAATCACTAAAATTTAAGGGTGTGACAGAGCTGAGACGCCGAAGAAACAGGGACTTGATGGTTCGAAGGGAAGTCAGTTGTTGAAGTCAGTCACACACTGGCCCTCGTAGAAATCAGACGTAAAAGGCACACACCGGCCCTCATAGAAATCAGATGTAAAAGTCACACGCCGGACCTTGTAGAAACAAGAAGTAAAAGTATACTGGTGTTAGTCAGTTGTACAGTATTAAGAAGTGACTAAACAAGTGTCTAATAATAATAATAATAATAATAATAATAATAATAATACATCTAAACTTGATATGTGCTTATGTAGTTTGTGTTCATTTCTTGCTTCTTCGAGTTGTGGCCCGTTCAAGGCTCTGAGATAAGAGAACCTCAGCTCTACCAAACCAACAAACCTCACCTCTTTATAAATCAAATAACCCTGAGATAAAATTTAGTACAAGAGAAAAGATAATAATTGAGTTTAACAAAAGGTAGGTGAGAGTGCAGTTACAAAGTGGCACTCATCAACGTTAGGCCAGTCGTGGAGGCATCGAGAAACGGTAACACTACTAGAATGCTCATAATTTTTGCAGGCTTTCAGCCTCTTGGAGCTCAGTTACTCACCAGTTCATTTTATCATTTGCATTTAATACTTGCAATCACTTAAACTTATGACCTTAATGGAAAGATCAGATTCTGTGAAATGGGGGAATATTTTTAACTTTTATGCAGGGTATATATTTTGCATGGTGACAGATTCACTTTGGACGCCTCTGTGGTCTAGTGGTCAGAGTTCCTGGCTACAGATCCAGAGATACCAGGTTCGATTCCTGGCGCTACCAGGTTTTCTGAGGAGTAGTGGGTCTGCAATGGGGTCCACTCAGCCTCATGAGGATAATTGAGGAGCTATTTCAAGGAAATAGCGGCCCTGGTCTAGAAAACCAAAATTAACGGCCATGGAGATTCATCGCAGTGACCACGTGACACCCTCTATCCACAAAAAGTTGGCACCAACTTCGCCGACAAGCAGTGGTCACTCAGTTGGTATGGTTCGCTTGCGGACTACAGGCCACGGGCTTTGTTTGTTTGACAGTTTCACTTTAAACTGTAGAAGCACTCATATCCAGCAGTCTTGTGTCATTGTCATGTAAATTTCAAGTTGTATTTCAAATGCCAGGTGTCTATTGTATAAAACCACAGAAGCTTCTTATAATATTCTTATTTGAATATGTAAAAATATATTGTTTTATTTATTGCTGTTTTGTAGTATGAGTAAATGCTAGAACAAAACTGTTTGTCTGATTGTCTGATTTAGCTTCTATGGTAATTAATTGTGTTTATGATTGTTTCAGGCTTATGTGATTTTTGTGCAAATCCTTGGAGGTGTGTGGCTAGAGCGGAATATCACGACTCTACTTACACACGTCCTGGATCTTGTAGCAAACCCAAAAGCAGCGTCTTCCCATGTAGATGCTGTCTACTCTCGCAAATGCATTAACTTCATTCTCAGGAGTGTTTTGGGTCGCATGCTGGGAGAGAAGGCCCAAGCCTCTGCATGCAAGGAGATAGCCCACATTGTGATCAAGCAGATGAATTCTATTGGTTAGTGAATTTCCTGACTCATTTGAAGAAAGAGAAATATATAAACTTTCAGTCATGCACCATGTATTGTCTCAGCACTTTCTGCATGGTGAGTGAAATGTTTCAGCACATATCTGCTATCCTGAGGCCCTCAGGTATTGGAATACATATGTAAACATTTATGTTATGGATATATATACATCTAGTTTGTATGTAATTTTGTCTGATAAATTCATTAGCCAATAAAGTTCTTATTGGTCATTAAAATTATTTTTACATTTTATATTAAATGGTAAACGTTTGTTTCTCAGTACACATGTACCATCCAAACACCACTTAATGAGTATCTACATTCCAACAAAAATCTGTGTTAAGTAAACAGGCAACCAACACACATGTTACACAAAATCTCCTATTGACAAACCCTGGAAGACTTAAGCAATAAATTTTGTTAAAATTCTAACCAAAAATTATATTAAATGCTCAGTGTTAAGTGACTTTTATATGTGCCTGTAAAAGTTTTTGTCATTTATTATTACATCTAAAAATAATATTAATGCTCAGTAAGCACTAGACAGACCAGTGGATCCATTAGACAAAATTACATCCATACAGAATGTATATTCCCTCACAATATGAAAGTCAACTGATTGAACATAACACAGATTCTATCAGTATACCTTTTAATAGAGTTTCACCATACATTTGGTAAAATTTCTATAGAATTTAACAAAATTGTTGTTGACCAAGATATATAAATATTGGCATTTGATACCATATTTACTTATTTGTAGCAGATGGAACCAAAAATATTGCTGTACCTATTCTCATACATTGTTTTGCAGATTTCAACCCAGAGAATGCAAAGGATTGTAACCAGGAGACCCTTTTCAGTCAGCACTTACTGGTCTGTGCTTTGCAAGAGATGGGAAGCATCACCCTAGGGCTTGGAACAACAGCCAGCAACCTCCTCACTGACCAGTCACTAAGTAAGACACATTCATTGTTTGGGATTACTGCACCCTGTCCATTGTCAGGCATTCTAAAGAACAGAACATCTTGGAAACTGGGTTTGTTTTTGTCCTCAGGTGAAGGGTGGCAGACACCTACTCTTTTGGGTCCATTTGAAAGATCTAACCTTAATCCCTGTAAGTTAGCTGTTCCTAACAGACCCAACAGATTAGGTGTCTCCCACTCCTCACCTGAGGACATAAACAGATCCATTTTCTGAAATGTTATGTTCTTTTATGTTGTTTAGAACACCGGATGATATACAAAGTCCAAAAACTCAGGAATCCTGAGTATTACAAACCATTGTCAGGACCCTTTATAATGTATGTGTGATGGAATGCGGTTTGACAAGTTAAATACCTTGAATAAACTCACAAAAAAGAACAGAAAATCTAATGATGGATTGATTATATGGGGGGAGGGAGGTGCAAGTGTGATAAGGAGGCCAAGGTTCCTAGAGGACCACAGAGCCAAGGAGTAAGTAAGTGTACCTTGGATTGTATTAAATAAATTATGTTAAATGTGTTGTTTTATTGTGGACCATTAATAAAATCTACATATTTCATGTGTAGGTCTGATTGAGGCAGTAATGGCAGTACTGGTCCATCCTTGCCAAGCTGCTAGACTAGCAGCTGCCTGGTGCCTTCGCTGCATCTGCGTGGCTGTCCCAAGCCAGATAACACCTCTCATTGACAGGTTGGATCTTATGACATAAAACATTCACGTTTATATTAGTTTGTTGTACTAGGTAGGACAGTAGTAAGATCATATATTTGTACATGTAGGCTCTTCAGGAAATGGGGAACCAGAAGGACTTTGTATTACAGATTTTATCATATGGAGACGTAGGATTTTGTTTATCCTATGCACATTTTAATATATATTTATGAAAATAAAGCATCACAGAGGAATAATTTGCAACACCAATGCTTTGTGTAATACCAATTATCAGATATATTATCATTACTATAACATTTGTATGGGGACACACGGTAGCATAGTGGTTGAGGCACTATGCTACAAATCGGAAGGTCGTAGGTTCAAATACCGATGAGGTCATTGGATTTTTTTCAGTTGACCTAATCCTTCTGGCCACACTATGGCCCTGGGGTTCACTCAGCTTCTAACAAAAATGAGTACCAGGAATTAAATAAATAAATTTTCCTGGGGAGTAAAGCGCAGCTGGCGCGTAAGGCTGACAACCTTACCGCCATCTTTGAGCTGATTGTCTAGATAATGTGGGACCCTCAACGTCTCACAACCCTATGGGCCTTCATGGCCTGTTACAGGGATAGCTTTACTTTTTTTTATAACATTTGTGTGTAACACTGTTACTCTTACCTGTTCAGTTCATACTCCTTCATTCCCCTGCCTTCCACCATATTCTGTTTATTTGTTTAAATGTCCATTTATATAATACACCACCACAGTGTAGTACTTATGTTCCCAGTATTGATGAGTAGTTAGTTCTCTGATTCATATTTGGGAGGTCCCAGTTTCAAATCTCAGCGTGGGTACCCACTACTCTGATTGAGGTTTTTCATGGCTGTTCATCATTCCCTCCAGCCAGATTCTGTGAAAGTACTTCAAATTAAGCCACATTTGCTTCCTTCCTCATCCTTTATAACTCTTCATCCATTAATCACCTGAACATTCAATGCTGTATAGTCTTGAGCTGCTGACATTATCATAAAATAAACAACAAATGTAGGATTAATCACCATACACGTTCTGATCCCGCACATGAACTGAGAGCTAAGGAAACATGAGTAATAGAAAATTACAAGGATCCATCCACACAGACATCCATCCCCATGTATGAATTACAGTGAGTACAGAAATTACAATAAAGTCTTCATATAGCAAAATTCAAAGGACCCAAACTAATGTACATCATAGCAAGGGTATTCTCTAAGTAGAAAGATAGTATGTTATGAAAGTAATATATTGTATATTAGTGGGAATAACATCTTCAGCTTGCTTTACTTGTTTTGTAAGAAAAGAGACATATGGTGTCATTGTGTTACTCTATTCATCTGTTGTATTTTAGCGTGTCTGTGTATATGTCTGTTCTCCTATAATAATTTCTGAACCATCTGACAGATTTTTATGAAACATGGCATGAATTCATGCTACTAGAGGCCACCCATCTTTTACTTCTCCATTTTTATTATCCATAACATCAACCTGGCAGCCACTCGAACTTCTGAAGTGGAAGTAGCACTCATGGCAGTTAGTGAAGGGCTCTAAAATGTGGTATCATCATAGTAGATCTTAAAAGTATATAAAACTTTAGTGGAAGTCATATGTTTGTAGAAGGTAAAAGTACGTGACCGTGCAGAATCTGTACTCGCCTTTCCATTTGAAGTTTATAACCAATAAACCATTGCAGCTAGATGGACCAGACTTCATCCCACAACATATAATTAAGTGACATTATGTGAGATTTTTACAAAGTGAGCTGCTGGCCCTCTTAGACAGCATTCCTCTGCAGCACAATTTGCAGATGTGCTACCAGCATGACAGAGCACCTCAACATTTCAGTAGAAACGTAACATGATATTTGAGTGAGGAGTTCTTTGGCTAATGGACTGACCATGGTGGTTTTGCTGAGTTGTTGCCTGAGTTCCCCATTTCTTAGCCCCTTAGAGTACCATGCATGGGGTCATATGAAAAACATGGTGCATGAATGAAAAGAGGACAAAAGATGAACTACTTCAATAAGTTTTTGATGCCACAACATGCACTAATAGCATGGTAGTTCTACATAATGTTATGCATTTCATAGTGAAATGAACCAGGCTCTGCATCCAAGCTAATGGTGGAAATTTTGAACAGTTACTTCAGGATACATAAACTGTACAGTGTGATCATTTGTCTTTTTCCCAGTAACAGTGTTCTTTCCAATAACAAGCTTCAAGTCAAGCTACATTTTAAATACCCATGGCTCCTAACCCATTGAAAACTGGACCAATTTTATAAAATGTTTCACTCAGAATGAGCTTAGGAATCAACTCCTGAAGTTATGATATAAAGGCATGAGACACTTTGTATATGATCTTTAATATAGAAAGTTTTTTTATACTGATGTTTCATTGTAATCTTTCATTGATTACTTTTTATTTAAAATTCTTTTTATATTATTATTTTACACATTTCATAGAGAAGTAGAATTTGTGGTAATACTTTAAGAACATGGTTATATTATGTTGAGATATAATTCTAATTTGCAGGTGTGTAGAAGGCATAGAAAACATGCGAACCTCTCCTGAAGCTATTGTGGGTTACAGTAGTGCACTAGCGGCTGTGTTGGGTGGAGTTCGCTTATCTCCCCTGGGTGTACCACACACTAAAGGGAAGGTACTGTCATAATAAATTTTAGGATAAATGTGAGTTATGTTCAGCTCTGTTTCTGCTTCCTTTCTGAATTTTCATTCCCACCTCAGAAGTGTATTGCTGTCAGGCAAGCAGAACTGTAGATAGTATTGAAAGAAGTATTTACATTTTGCTAAAAATTCTGTTTCTTGTACAGGTGATATTCAACACAGCCGAAGAACTATTGCGCAGTGCAAGTCAAAACAGCAGATTGTCTCTAAACAGAACACAAGCTGGGTGGTTGTTGATTGGTGCTATTATGACATTGGGTAAGCTGGCTAACTTCATGGAGCAGACTGCTTGTTATCAAGAAATTCCCTGCCTTTTGTGGAATGTAAAAATTCGTTAGCGTGTTGACATAAGTCCACTACTAGACTCTGTTCTGAACCAGATGAATCCATCCCACACCTTGCGGACCGGATGCATGATATCATGCTTTTCGCTTTTAAACGTGACGGAGAGGTCGCATGATATCATGATTTTAGGATACGTTAGGTTGTAACACACTATACCTTGCTCTGGCACCATGCAACTGCAATGAATACTGCATAATAAATCTTCGGAATGTAGCTAGGTATTCAGCAACTTGACCTGGCTGGCTAGGGTCCCTACTCCAAAAGAAAATAAACTTTGCCCCTTCCAGCTCTTTATGTACCAGGCAGGAAGTTAGTAGAGGGGAATATGTTTCAAGGACAAAAGTGGCTGAAGGCAAAGCGATCTCTCTGACTTGTTTTCCTCTGAGTGCCTTGTGGAGGAGTAGTGATTAGTGACTCAGACAGTGGGAGTGACACGGGTCAACAAAGAATTGTGGCCACAGATAATAAAAGTGAAAGTTGCCTCGTGGCTTATAAATTGTGCCATTTTCAATTCATTTTTGGTTTACAAAAATCTAAACCCTGATTTGAAATTGAAATACAAAGCATTTCTGATGAATGTGGCAAAGGCTTGGGTTACAGACCAGGTGGTGGCGGCAGAACCAGAGTCAGACAGACTTAGTGCGACCTAGCCCATCAACTCCCACCCCACACAGGCCTCATGTGGACACCCCTGGGTGACTCTCGGGGTGATATGCGGAAACATACCCTCGTGAAAATTGTGAAGAGTGAGCATTCCAAGGGGAAGCATCCTTCTAGGCAATGCCGTGTTTGCACAGTTCACAAAAAAAGGACTATGACTGTCTACATTTGCAAGTGTGTAATGCCACTTCACAAAGGGGAATGTTTCCAGAAATATGACACTCTCAAGCACTTCTAGGAGCACTGGTGAGTGTTCTCCAAAAATTTTAGTTCATAAAATTAATTAGGAGAGTTTATATTAATCTATAAAGTGAACAGTGCACAAGTTAGGGTAGTAGGTATAAAAATACCGGTCCCCAGGGTGATTTAAATCACCGGTCCGCAAAGCGTTAAGACACATTTTGACATTATCTTCTCTTTTATCTCAGCTGTTGCAAGCAGTCTCATCCTGTAAGGTTTTTTTATCTAAAATTGTATACATGTTTTTAATTTCCCACATCATGATATGTGTCCACCCACTATATTCTCCTTGATTTAATCACCCTAAGAACTGTCGGTGAAAAGTAAAAATTATAAAGTTCTTCATATTGTAATTTTATTCTTTCATTCTGTTACTTCCTCTGCCTTAGGTGCAATATTCTCCTCAGCACTTCATTTTTAGATAAACTTCAGCATATGTTCTTCCCCTTAATGAAGTACATACCTGGCCATTTCTAATATTTGCAAAAATATTTTTTGAAAATTTAAAATTTTAAAAAGAGATTTTATGATATTCTGGTAAATATGATGCTGCAAGATATCACATATCTCAGTTTTCTTCATTTTTCACTCAGCACATAAAATGAACTTAAGTGTATAACAGTTACAGTTGTTATGTGGAGAACTTTGTCTCATACGTCCGCAGAATATTTAACACTTCTCTTTATAGGCTAACAGTATAATGAATTAGAAAACAACTTCTATTATTTGTATATTTAAGAAACAATAATTTTATGCACCAGGTGTTCCTGTGGTGCGTGGTCTATTGCCCCGGATGTTGTTGCTTTGGAGGAACTCCTTCCCACGTTCAAACAAAGAATTGGAGTCGGAGAAGGCAAGAGGAGATGCATTTACTTGGCAGGTGGGACACTGTCATGTCTGGAAATTGAATAAGTTAAAGAACCATGTTACCAAGCTGTAACATGAATGATATGATGATAATGTTATATGTGAGATTAATCTGTATGTCACTGTGGTTTTCTAAGAAATAATGAAAGGCGCTTCTGTAGACTTCAGAATATTTCTGAAACCTTATTTGTTAGGCATGCGAAGTGTTTTGCTAAGGACTTTCTTTCTATTTCAAAAGAAACTTGAATCATTTCCACATGACTGAAGCATTTGATTAATAATGAAGATAAAGATAATAGTATAATGTTTATCATTTGGGGAGGGAGTTATTTTCAGTTTCTCACAGTGTTGACATCAGTTTATTTTAATTTGCCACTGTTTCACATAATACCACTGCACCATCTTCATGCACTCATCTTGTTTCTTCCAGCATAGGACTCAACTACTTGCTTCTTGTTGCACCCTTTCACCACATGTGAACACTGCACTTTTTCTGGCTCAGACTGACTGATTGACTCTACACACTAATTCCACACACTTTAGTTCAGGTGATGTCAGTTTCAAACGTCCTTACAGGATCTTGGCCAACCTCAGTCTTCTTAGCTTCCAGAACCATCCAAAAGTCAGGGAGAGGGTGCAACATTTCCTGATCACTGGCATATGATCCACCTCCCCATGCTCATGTGACAGTACTTTACATGCATCTGTTGGCAGGTTACCCACTGATTTAAAGACATAATGATTTGAGAAGTGTGAATAGGGTTTCCAATAAACAAATGGTTATGTGCTATAACCAGACAAGGCCCTAGTTTAACTTCCACATCTTAAATATTTGTTAGTACAAAGGAGGAAGTTGACTGGAGACTGTGTTGGAAATAACTAGATATTTGCAAGTGTCAAAATTTTTAGATGAAATGAAGAAATAATTTTCTCGAACTTGATTCATCATTTCATTCTTTATTCTGAAACTTTGAGAACTTTCTGATAACTGCCTTTGCTTTGCATGTCAATATCATATGAAGTGAATCAGTATCATATTTACCCAAATGGAAGGTGAGTTTTGTTTCCCCCATTTTAAGAATTTTGAAACCAGGGCTTGCTAACATGAATTTGGTTGCTGTATATATTAGATATTTTTAATCCTTTATAGCTTCTAGTGTGCATTAGAATGCTTTGAAGGTAGCAAATGAGCAAAGTGAGAGAGATGAAAATGTATTTCATTGTCTGAAGCCTGAAGCTGCCATAAGGTTCCCCAAAGTTCCTCCGAAATTATGAAACAGAAATTTTCTTGAAATTGTCCTATTGAATGGTACATGTTTATTTAGGTGACTCTGGAAGGGAGAGCTGGAGCTCTGTCTGCAATGCACAGTTTTGTTCAGAACTGCCCTGAGTTTGTTACTGATGACATCATCAGGAGATTGCTTACACCAATTGAATCTGCTGTAGCAATGCTAACAAAGTAAGTCAGTGATTAGAACCCACTCATAATAGGTGCTCAATTTCTTGAGGTGTTCAGAAATACAGTGTGTAAGGGTTTGGACTGGATTCATCTGGCTCAAGTCAATGTCTAGTAGCAGACTTTGTGAACATGGTAATGAGCCTTCAGGTTCCCTAAAAAGGCAGGGAATTTCTTGACCAGCTGAGTGACAGTTGGCTTCTCAAGAACAGTCTTGATTCATGGAATGAATTCTCATATTTAAATGTAGGTGGACATCCATTTTCTTGTGTAGAAAGTGTTGCTGTACCGATATTCTGCTGTTTAGGACAAAAAGGTTCAGTCTTTTCGTTCCAGTTTATAGTGAATGAATATGATCTTTCAGAAATATTCATCTGATGGTGCTTCTAACAGCTTTCCTATTATTTTAAATGTTTGTATCCTAACCTTTCAGCATATCCACAGTCTTGAAAACATATGGGCAGCACCTGAAGGCGCCAGCTGCTATGGTGAGGCTGAGATTGTATGAAACATTGTCACTTCTCCCTCCACATGCATTTGAAGGTAAATTATATGTTGATGAATGTAGGATGGAACTAAGTTTCATGTGTTGTGTCATGAGAACTGCCTCACCCTCCTTTGTACCATTGCAGTTACATGTAATAAAATATAATTTGGGATTACGGTAAAGCTTTGTTAATCAGAGTGTGTGCAGTCAGAAAATTTAAAACTTTGAATTAAACAGATTTTCATTAGAGAAATGACCTTACAGTTTCCATATTCTGTCAGTGAAATAGGCATGTTATGTGTGTACAGTAGTGTCATTACTCAAAGGACATTAAAACCAACTAGATCCAGATGGAGGAAGATTGATGCTATTTATATTTGCCATATTTTTCAGTGCTGCGAATATCACTTTTGAGATATTCTAAAAGTGTCTTTAATTTCATAATATCCCTTGTGTATGGTAAGATTTATTTAAAATTTTTAATTTCTTGTGATAATTTTCATGGCACTCCTGTCTTGGTTCGCAGGTTCATACACACATTTGCTAAGAATGCTTGTGGCAGAATTCACTCTGACTGAAAATCCCGCCAATACAACAACATCGCAGCTGCGTACTGTATGTCATGCTGATGACTCAGTTATTCTGGGAACATGGCTTCAAGAAACAGATCATCGCACCATAGAGGATCAGGTTTGTAGTGTTTCTAGTTGCCGCCATGCTAGCCCTTCAACATTTCCATTGTTCTCAAATTCCTTTGTGCTGAGTGGACAGAACATGAACTTACGTTATGCTATTATTTATAGTGCAGTGTTATTTTCTTTATGCTGACTTCTGTTTTACATGCATTAGAGATAATTTTAACATGGCCATTTAGGGCCGTGCCATAGCTCAAGTGGTTAGTCGCTGGCTTCCCACCGCGGTGGCCCAGGTTCAATCCCAGATCTGGTCAAGTGGGATTTGTGGTGGACGGAGTGGCACTGGGGCAGGTTTTCTCTGAGTACTTCATTTTCCCCTGCCAATCTTAATTCCACCAATTGCTCCACAATCACCCTCACCTATCATCTGGGGCTGGTACAATAGTCCAGAAGTGGACACAGTACAAGGGACTTAGTCCCACCACACTAGCATTAAAAAAGAGACATGGCAATTTCGTTATGAAAATGATGGTAATCTTCCTTCTTTGGTTGACTGAGGATTTTTTATAGGTAGATAAATACAAAATGTAACAATTATGCGCACACAAATGTAAGAATATTTATCTACAGATCTCTTACCCATAAAAATAAGGAAGGTGTCCCAGGACAAACGTCACTCACTCGCCTTTTATTAATTTTGAGTACTGCAACTACAGAGTTTGCTAAACGTGAATCATATCCCGTCTTCATAATGTAGCTTAGTGAAAAATGTTTTCTTAGATGTAAATCATGTTTTTCACTCACAGTCTAGTATTAAAATATTTTATGTAGATACTTTGTATGATCAGTCGCTGGTGAGCACTGAAAGATTATGTTGATGGTAAGTTTTCAGAACTTACTTCCACTTGTATACTTTGAACACATCGACAAACTTCTGATCTAGAAGGATGAAACTTCTGCTTTGAATGAAAATGGTCACTAACTTGTGATAAACATTATTTTTGCATCTTTTATATTTTTCCTTACTTCCATAAGTTGGTGAGAACTATTTGGATCAGTGACCAAATCTGTGCCTTAGGTCCATTGAAGCAAAGTGAATTAATTTTATCGTACTCGTTAGTAATAAGCATAAACCAGTTTTCAGCTGTGGAGAGTGCATATTTAAAAATAATCTCAAGGGTGACTGCATTATACGAGGGGCAGCCAAAAAGTTCCCGGAATGGTGGTATAGCACTCTAATTGTAGGACATATGGCAACGCTTACCTAACCACCTTCAAAGTAAGACCCTTGCAGGTGCACACGCGCCATCGATCCTGCCATTGTTGGAAGCAGCTGTGGAAGGCTTCTTTTGGAATTTTCCAGAGCTCAGCCATTGCATTTAATTTGATGTCCTCCATGGTTGTGAAACGTGTCCCCTTGAGGCCCATTTTCAGAGCAGGGAACAGCCAAAAGTCACTTGGAGCGAGATCCGGAGAGTACGGTGGTTGAGTGATGACAGGAATGTTTTTCTCAGCGAGGAATTGCTGCAGAACAAGCAATGAATGTCTTGGTGCATTATCGTGATGCAGAAACCACTGTCCCTGCCACTTGTCGCGCTTCTTCCTCCGAATCACATTGCACAACCTCTACAAAACTTGCATCTAGAAATGGCCAGTAGCAGTCTGTCCAGGCGGTACGAACTCATGGTGCACCAAACCGTCAATGTCAAAGAATGCAATGAGCATCAGATTGTCTTTGGATCTGACGAGGCATGATTTTTTGGCCGGGGAGACAACGCTGTGTGCCGCTCCTATGACTGCATCTTTGTCTCCAGGTCGTAGGCCAACACCAATGACTCATCACCAGTGATGATCTTTTTGAGAAATGTCAGGTCCTGCATACTTTTGTCAAACAGATCACCAGCGACCATCATGCAACATTCCATCTGATCCGTGGTCATCTGCCTCGGAACAAACTTCGCACTGACGTGTCTCATCTTCAAATGATCGGACGAAATGGCATGAATGGATCCATGAGAGATACCAACTTCTTGCTCCAACTCTGCAATGGTCATTCTTCAATCATATTGAATCAGTTATCACACTTTTCCAATCATTTCTTTGGTTCTGGATGTCGAAGGTCTCCCGCTGCGCTGGTCATCCTCTTAATGTCTCCTGTCTGTTCTTAAACTGGGAAAACGAGTCGTAAACTGCGGATTTCTTTAGTGCAGTATCACCGTAAACTTGCTGCAGGGCCAATTGCATCTCTGAAGCAGATTTTCCCAATTTGCACATGAACTTGATGTTCACACACTTTTCGAACTGTGACATTGTGCTGAATGACCAACACTCATGTCTAATTCAATGGAAGAGTAATGACACTGCATACTGAAACCTGTCCAGACCTGGTGCGCCTGTGAGCAGACATGCTGAGCTCCCCACCACAACAGTGTGTGTGCTAGCTTATTGCTCGTTCTCCGTCTGCAGGGGAATTCCAGGAGCTTTTTGACCGCCCTACATATATTCCCTTCACATTCACTATCACAATGGAACAGTTTGATCTAGCTATAACTAGGCTTGTAAGTGGGAGATACCCTGTTGTGATTCTGTATCCTGACCCCTCGGGGGTTTAAGTCTCCTCATTGGGCAGATGTTAGGTTAGAACTTTGAAATTGGTTGTGATCCCAACTTTCAGATCCCTGCCCATTCATAGATGTTCTGTGTGCATCACATTTGACACTATATAATATTTACAGTCATAAGTAGCACGAATCAGTCAATTAGGTATTATATTTCATGACAAGTTGGAAGTGTTTCATGTGAATATTCCCTAATGTTTTTGTTGTATGCTTTTNTGCACTTAGACCAGTTATTGGTCCATTGTGTGTCCCCCTTTAATTTCTACTGTCTCCATACCCTACCAGTACTGGTGCATGCTATCAGCCCTGTTCAGCCAACGAGGTCGGCCGTCGGTACCTGATATTTCCCCCATCTACCAGAGGCGTTGAAAACTACTTGGGTGGGAAATTGTTGCCTAATTTTGCTCAGAGGTCTCCTAGAAACACAAGGATCTTTTATATGCCGTAAATCTACGACACGGGACCCACGGCTTAAAGTCCCTCCCGGAGGATTTGTTCCCTGAATTTTTCCACCCTTAAAAATTCCACGACCTCTGCCAGGTTTGAACCCACGTACCTTGAGTCATGAGGTGGGAACGTTACCCCTAGACTACGGAGGCCGCTTACACAGTAGTCTAAATATACTGGAAACTTTAAAATGTATCGTGCTCTGTTTGTACTGATATATTTTTCTTGACACCATGAACTTTCATATTCATTCACTGTCCTATTGAGGGAAGAAATCCCGTCATTTGACTTCACTAAATGCTTAACTCTGTTTGTTATCTTGGTTGCAATGCCTGAATTAAAATTTTGGGAATGTCCTTGTTCCTGCAGAATGTCTAATTGATTAATATATGTCTCAATCTAATGATCCTGAGCTTTGTGTGTTGTAGTTTTGCTGTGTTGACTATACCCTAATTTCCATCACTCTGTCTTGTACATGTTTCTTTCTTCTGGGAAAAAAAAAACTTTCAGTGTGTAATTACTGCTTCTCTTGTATTTTGGTGGTGGTTGCTAATGCAATTAACAGGTGGACTTTCTTTCCATTCATACATCTAGATGGAGCCTAACCGCAGGGCTGATGGAGATCATGTGAGTACATGGCATCTGATCTGCATACTTACATGTCTTGGTTTCATTTCCAGCTTTGGTAATTTGATAATTATCAAATTACCAAATAAATTCAATCATTATAATGATTGAATTTATCAGTATAACTTATTTCCTTTCTCTTTTTACCTTGCTACCAATGGATTTCAATCTGTGTTCATAAATTTAAGAAACGAGTGGAAGATGTACACAAATATGAACATAATTGTCCTTTAACATTATTTTATTGTTAATGACAAATAAATTGTTGCAGAAACATAAGTCATAGTGGTCCTTGTATTTCATTAAGTTTCATGTTATCAAAAATTATTTCAAATAAAGGCTGATTTTAATAAAATCTATGGTATATTTTATCTTCTGTGATACATTTTTGTACAGTGAGCCCATTTTGAAAGTAAGTGATGTGTCAAATTAAGCTTCACAAAGGAGTTTTGTTGGACTTATACCAAGATTTAACTCTCCAAACAGCTTCCTCATAGACCCTCAATACCATATTTCATTGAAATCCATTGGGAAGTTTCAGAGACAAAACATAATAGATGACTGAGCCTATAAACATCTCTTATATGAGTTGACTTATGCGAAGTATTCAGAATATTTAGGATATATAAGTGTGTACAAGGTAATACTTCAAAATTAAATAGAGTAAAAAAAATCTGCATGGTAGAATAGCGTTTGTGTTTCAGTTTTACTCAGTAAATTAATAAAATAGCATGTCTGACTCGAGTTTATACTGCCTTCAGCATGATTTTATTGTAGTTCACATTTGTATATTTGTGGAACAGGGTGAGATGTGATTTTTTCTGGAAAAAAAAAGAAACCTAAATAATCCTTAGCTGATATCTCTCATTTAGTATTTCCTGTTTTGAAGCTGATCATATTGACTCAGCAGTTCATGAAATTACTTCTGCTTCACATGATGACATGCTAAAAGAACATATAATACACTGTGATATGATGCCTGAGAACCGAAATAATGGAGCCAGTAGAAATGTTCCACTTTTAGGTAACAGCACAATAAAAACGTTTTCGCGACAATGAACATGTTACTCAGCAACAGAAGAATTGCTGGAAGCAATGTTTTCCATGTGGTATGTGTTAAGGCTGTATAGCAAGAGCTGTCCAGATTACTGACAAAGTTCCCCACATTGTACAGTGCATATATAAATGATACACCCCACATGCCTAGTGTCTGTCTAGATCTCTGCTGATGACACCTGTATATATGCAGCACACCACAGAGAGGGTTATGTTCTCAAAGAACAGGAGCAAGGTCTCAGTGCAGCTGAGATGCGGTATGAGCACTGGAACATAAAAGTCAGAGAAGATAAGACTCAGGCCTTCAACTTTTCTGATATAGACTTAGGCCCCCTGAGGCTCATCTTACATATAATGGATAAAATATCTGTTTTGTCAGTCATTTAAAATATCTGGTTATAATCTTCAATAAGAGGATTACATGGAGGCTGCACACAGTAATGAATGAAGCAAAGGCCTTAAGAACATTTATTAGAATATACTCCCTATTCAGAAGTGAGCATATAAATGCCAACGTTAAACCAACCCTCCATAAGGCACTGATTAGATCAGCAATGACTTACAGTTGCCCCTCTTGGGAGTTTGTGGCTGACACCCACCTCTTAAAACTACAGCAACCGCAAAAAAAAATTCTCTGCATCGCTCAGAATTTTTCATTATGCCCACCAGTTCACAATTTGTTCACGGCTTTTGACCTTATATATGTATATGATTATATAACAGGGACACGTGGTAGTGTAGTTGGTTGAGGCACTATGCTACAAGCCAGAAGGTCGCAGGTTCAAGTCCTGATGAGGTCATTGGATATTTTTTTCAATTGACCTAATCCTTCCAGCCGCACTATGGCCCTGGGGTCGACTCAGCCTCTAACAGAAGTGAGTACTAGGAATATTCTTGGAATGCTCTTGGGGGTAAAGGGGTGGCCAGCACGTAGGACTGACAACCTGGCTGCCATGTATGAGCCAATTGTCTAGAAAATGTGGGAACCTCAACATCTCATAACCCTATGGGTCTCCATAGCCTGTTAACAAGGATACCTTTTTACTTTTTACTTATGATTATATAACAAAATTGTGAAAGCAACAAGCAGAAGTCATACAAAATCATGAGAATGAACATGTTCACATCATAGGACAAGGCGAAGCCAGACACAGAAAATATAAGAGGATTAAACTTGGCAGTGGTCAAGCTTATGACTGTTCAAGTGACTACGCTGTCGTTATAGCATAAGATGAGATAGATAAGCGTGATCTGTTTTGCAAAGCATGGACTGACAGAGGACTTGCATATAGTGCAAAAGGAAGAATTTTCAATAACATGCTCTATGTGCAATACATACACTTGACAGAGGCAAATTCCTAAAACAAAACTTGTCAGAGAGGTTGTTATATAAGGGCTATGACTGCAGGGGTTCAGTTGCACCAAAAAGGAAATTTCTCTGGTCGTGATCCTCAAGGGGCTTGCTGCCAAGACAGAATGATTGGCAGTAAATTGCCAGTCGTAAAGTAACTCTGACTCTGACCCTGAACTTACATAGTCGCTGTCATGAGTTGGATGTGGCCATAAGGAGTTGTGAGACAGTTGTCAGCCAGTAAGGACATTAGTACAGAATCTACATTGTTGGGAGCCATTACCAGAAAATGCCTGATAAAGACATAGAAGACTCCACGTCTGCTGCAATATAGTGATTTGTAGAGTATGTAAATCCATGAAAGTGTTATAGTTACAGAGATACCATGTATGTGACCAGAAGACGAAAAAGACGTAAGAAGATGCTGGATGACCTTGGGGACAGAAGAGGATATTTTTATTTGAAGGAGAAAGCTCTAGATCGCATTAAGTGGAGGAACTGTTTTGGAAGAGACTGTGGACCTGTCGTATGACAGATTACTGATGAAAATGAGTTACGAATTCTAAGTCTTCACTAAATCAAATTATCAATCCAAATCCTATGTGTAGTCATTAACACGTGGTAACTGGTGTCAGAAGTTGGATAATTTGATTGAATTGAATTGTTAGACTTAGTGAATGTCATTTTGGAACCCATGTGGTGATAAGCATATGGAAGATTGAATGTCTGGTAGCCACCATAGAGATTATGGAGGCCATTAAAACCAGGATAGACCCCTTTCAAGGAGAAATGATGGCCACAAGGGCCAGTCAGGAGGAGCTTATGACCATAATGAAAAGCACAAAGAGTGCCAATTTCCAGGGGCAGGTAACTAGGCATTGACAACTAGGGTGGAAGGGAAGGAAAGAGAAGCTAAGAGGTCCATCAGCACTGAACAACTTGCAAGTGTTGGGAGTCCATGCTGATAGTGTACTGCAGATATCACCATTTTAAAAGACTGCTGAATTACAGTTGAATAAACATTGGGATCTCAGTTTTTAGCTCTTATTTATGGGTTGCTTAGTACTTTGTTATACACATACAAAAATTAAATAATTTTAATTAGATGCGTCCAGCTCTTTTAATTATTCGTAACAAATCTCGAGGATTGAAACTACAGACACAGCACATCCCAAGAACTGTGTCGATGAACTCCACCATACAATTCCTTGATGAAAATTGAGCCAGAAATATCCAGTAATAACACATTGATGAGCTTGTTAATTGTGTCTATTTCATGTCATTAATTGTTTTAGAAATTAGTTTTGTATTGAAGAGTACTATCTTCTAGGATATAATGCTATGTAGTTCTTTGAAAATCAACCAACGTTTCGGAGGAACATATCTTCATCTTCAGGGTCAAAGAATAAGCCGAGCAAAAAATGAGAGTGAAATCAGGTGGCAAGCATAGCCATTTTCATGCCTTATCTTGCTTGGCTTATTCTTGGACCCTGAAAATAGAGGCAACATGTTCATCCAAAATGTCGGTTGACTTTCAGTAGACTACATGCCATTATATCCCACAAGATAGTACTATTTATAACCACTGCTGTGAGAACCTCAAATCCTACATTTTGTTTCTTACAGCACGTCATTGATTGCTATAAATTCCTGCATGTAAAATTAACTTGTATGGCTTCTGCATGCATGAAGTTACATTTGTTTACTTCCTTTATAGACTGAATTGAATTTAGCATGAAAATTTGGATGACGATGACGCCTATGACAACAGCAGCATTGACAGTGACAACGATGACAGTAATAAATAAATAAATAAATCAGAAAACATTTAATGTTATGTTGGTTTACTGCACTGCAGGTCATTTAACTTCTCAGAATACTCTCTGTTTTTGTCGGCTCAAAATTTCTACATAATATGAATTCAGATATTTTTAAATAAATACCTCATATTTATCAGAAAATTGATGTACACTTGTACTGCATGTATTTTGCAATAATTAAACTTGATAAATTTAGATCTGGTGGCTTTCATTGCCATAAAAATGCTGTCACCTTGATGGACAGATGTCCTGAAGTCATTACTGTATGTCACAAGATTAATAATACTGCACCAACTGTGGAGGTTATTTAGCATTGAATGATACAAGTATATAATTCAGTATGCATGTGGAACTGGAAAGGGGAGAGAAGGAAATAAGTTATGACATGTTTCAATGCGGAGTCAGGTAGCTCAGTGAGTACAGTAACTAGACTATGGGCTGAAGAACAGTGGACTCAGGACTGAATTTCCACTGGTGGCAAGAGATTTTCTCTTCTCCACAGTATTGTTTACATGAATCTGTCAGTTGCAAGAGAAGAACTTAGAGAAGCCTTATAGAAAGCCAAAACTAAATTTCCACTTTGGATTTTGCAGAGTCTTCCTAGGTAACACAGCAGATTGGTGGGTGAAAGATTTCTGATATAACATGAAAGGATTCAAATTCACCTAACCTCTAGTGTAATGGCACTTGTGTCAGGGAAGATGACAGGGAGCACTGCTGGTGGTTGCTGGGAGAATTACCACATATCAGGAGAACATGTACATTACAACCTTGTTTTTTAAGTAACTATAAAAGTGGTAATTTTTATTTGAACTTTTTCATAGTTGCACAAGAATTGGATACCAGATAGCTTTTATAGCATGCTTCAGAAAGAATTTTGAAGAAGCTCACTGATTTTATTTGCTGATGTAATGAAGTTGACAGGTGGAATATTGCTGCTGTACATTATACTGATCTACAATTTTCTGATTCTGCGGTATGCTGTTTTTCACTTTCACATATTTGGTAAATTTTATCAAAAACTGAGGTACTGTTTGAGTTTCTAACAAGTACGTTTTGAATAGTTGTGCTATTTTATCATGTGTTGAAGGGAAATGTTTGAATTAATCAAGTCAGTTTATTACAAGAAATTGCCAGCTGTTCACTGATCTGAGAGATTTTCTGGCATCTTCTTTACTACATGTGTTTCTTGAATGATAGAGTCTTCAAGTGGTTATTATTCTTCCTCACTCAATATGCATTCATTTTTATCTGTTTGTTTATTAATTTAAATGATCTAAAACAAGGAGATGCTTTATGGCCACTGTTTTTCAACTTTGCTTTAGAATATGCCATTAGGAAGGTCCAGGGAAACTAGGTGGGACCAAAATGAAATGGGATACATCAGCTGCTGGTCTGTACTGATGATGTAAATGACGTAGGTACCATAAAGAAAAACGCAGAAATTTTAATTGATGCTAGTAAGGCGGTTGGATTAGAAGTAAATGCAGAGAAAACAAAGGTATGTCACCAGAATGCATTGCAAAATCATGACATAAGGATAGTTAACAGATCCTTTGAAAATTTGACACAGTTAAAATATTTGGGAACGACAGTAACAAATCAAAATTTTAGTAGGAGGAAATAAAGATGAGATTGAATTTGGTTATTACTATCTGCCATGCAGTCCAAAGCCTTTTGTCTTCTCATCTGCTCTCTATAAACGTAAAAATAAGAATATATGTACAAAGCTATAATTTTGCCTCTGGTTTTAATGGGTGTGAAACTTGGTCTCTGACATTAAGGAAGGAGACTGCAGGTGTTTAAGAACAGGGTTCTGAGGAGAATATTTGGAATTAAGAGAGATGAAGTAATGGGAGTTGTGGAAAACCACATAATGGGAAGCTTCATGACTTGTACTCTTTGCCAAGTATAATTAGAATAATCAGGTCAAGGAGGATGAGATGGGCAGGGCATGTGGCATGAATGGAGAGAAGAGGAATGCATATAGGATATTGGTGGGAAAGCAAGAAAGAAAGATACCACTAAGAAGACCAAGACATAGGTGGGTGTATAATATTGGCTCTTAGAGAGATAGAATGGGGTGGTGTGGACTGGATTGGTCTGTCTCAGGACAGCCAAAAAAGGACACATCACAAGACACAGTATACACAAAATATAGGAAGAACGACTCCCATAGTGGGAGAATGATATAATACGTGAGTTGTGTGCACTAGAAGACGGTCAACACGTACATATCATAGTGAAGGGCTCTTGTGAACACGATAATGAACTTACGAGTTCCATGAAATATGTGGAAGTTCTTGAGTAGCTACAAATTTGGTGGCTTCTGAAGAAGGGCTCAGTTCCATGTAGTTAGTTAGTTATTCTTTTATTTTATGAGGCTGTCCGTAGTTCATATTGCACAATGTCAAGCCTTGCTGTTTAGTTGTGCTGGGGTTTGACCGCGTATTATTTTCTTATGTTGGTGCTGATTGTGTTCCTTTGATATGATTGTTTTCTGTAGATCTTGAAGAATTTTTTGGTTTATTGTAGTATAATATTTTATTACCTTGTGTTATTATTTTATGGATATTGCTTCAAGGATTTTCTGTTGCTTTAAGTTTCTACTTGACAGTCAAGTCTTTTCAAGCAAGGTATTTCACTGAGCTCTTTTTGTTTTCATGTTGTTGTTGGGGGTTTTTTTTTCTTTGCTGTGGCTGCTGCTGCTGTATTGTTGTCATCCTCCTCCTTTTTGGTACAAACACCCAATACAGAAGGCCATACAATTGCAGTCCAGGCTCATATTAGTATTTTAATTAATTTCGCTGATACTTGATGCTTGTTACATGCCTTGTTACATGCCTGCTTTATGTTCTCTCATGGTACACACATATGGTAGAAAAGTTATATACTTAAGGATGTTGTCATGAAGATACATGTGTAAATGGAGATAAACCTCCTTTCATTCTTAATCTTCAGCACTAGATGGAGGTGAATTGGCAGCTTTACACCTCGGCCGCTTTTCTCCAGGGAAAATACCCAAGTATATAAAGATGGGTGGGCTTCGGAGCAAGTCTGTTTGCAGTGTGGAATGAATGAATCTGTGTTGCGAATCGAGCACCAGCTGTTGAGCTCTTAGCTGACCACTTTACTTCATTACCATGGCTCATGCATTCATATGAATGACCAAATTTTTTCAAGGTAACAATGAAGTGTGCTTTTGTTTTCCAGCTTCAACCAAACAGTGCTGCTGGTTCTGGAGCTTTGGAACATGATTCATGTTGCCTATATCGACCAGTACCTTCTGTAAGTAATGTCACCTTCATATGATTAAAGGGTTTTGTGGGAACTGCCCACATTCAAGCAAGCGTGACAACGCAAGCTTCATTGCTTAGCAACCGCTGTTTAATCGCCGTTGCTAAGCAGTGAAGCTTCATATTTATAGTGTATTTAAAGAGGAAAGAAATTTATGTGCCATATAATTCATTAAATAAAATTTTATAGTTTCACCATTCCTTTGCAACTTTTTGGAAGCTTATTTATGGTTGTAAACAATTATGAACTACGTTCAGACTATGAAGAAACTTCACAACACCACAGGTGAGCCTTGCATGTCTAAAAAATCCCCGTGGCTTTAGTCCACAAGCAAACTATACTGACGCCTCTTGTCTGCGAAGTTAGTTGCAACTTTCTCTGTGGTCTAGTGGTCAGGGTTCCTGGCTACAGATCCAGAGGTCTGGGTTCGATTTCTAGCGCTACCAGATTTTTTGAGAAGTAGTGGGTCTGGAATGGGGTCCACTCAGCCTCATGAGGATAATCGAGGAGCTGTTTCAAGGAAATAGTGGCTCTGGTCTAGGAAACCGAAATTAACAGCCATGAGGATTCGTTGTGGTGACCACACGACACCCTCTGTCTGCTAGAGTTGGCACTTGCTTGTCGAAACTTACTAAAAAGTAGTGGACTGTAGGGTCAGTGCTTGATAAACACAGCACCATGAGAAATGAGTGCTCATAGATGAGAAGCTTGAAGACATTCAGGTGTGGTTTCAGATAAGCACTCAGAAATCTGTAAGATGAAAGTCTCTAGAGAAAGTTGAGTCATTAGGCCCTGTTTCTAAGGCAGCTGTATTAATGAAGTTCCTTCCATATGGCTCAAGAGTTTTGCATGAGCTTAAACCTGTGGATGCTCCACGAACAATGAGGTCTTGTAATTAAATAAATTCTGTTTTATTCATTTAGAGCAATTTTTAATTTAGAATTCTTGTGTAGGGTGAGTTGATCCCTGGTCCTCTGCCCCTGGGAGTAGCTGTGATTGACATGTCCGTGTCCTTGTTTGGTCAAATCTTCCCACGTGTTGCCAACAAGCATCGTCTGCAGATGTTGGACCACTTTGCAGAATGTATACGCCATGCCAAGTCTTCACGCCAAGAGGCAATACAAATGAATGTGTTTACTGCCGTTCTTAGTGGTCTCAAGGGACTAACGGAAGCAAAAGCAACATTTGGCCAAGAAGATGTGAAAAAGTCAGCTGCATCTCTTATTATTGTAAGTTCAAGATTTCTCATATCACTGAGGGCTTGTGTAACAGTTTTGAGAGAAACATTGATAATTTGAAAGATACTCTCTTCTGGTAGATTTTACCAATATTCTGCATGAAAATGTTGCCTTCTTCTACAGAGTAGTTTGAGGTAGCACATTCCTGAGAAATGTCTGTAAACATATACAAGACCACATAACAGTATATCCCAGAAGACAGAAGTATTCATAGCCTCTGCCTTGAGAATGTCAAATGAGAGGTGATAATACAATAAAAATTGTCCCACTTAAAAATATACAGGAATATAATGTGACCTTGAAACTCAAGAACAAATAGTGATTTACATGAAAAGAATATGACTTGCAATTTGAGAACAAGTAATAAATCTTCAGCCTTTATATAGTAAACTGTCCTTACAAAGAGACATTGGACAGAGAGCATGTTCATCTTTTTGGTTGATTAATTTAGATCATCCTTGTGTTCAAATGGCTTTAATTCACATTTCTTTGGATCTTCAGTTGAATAGTCCAGTTAGATCCCTGGGATATATGTAAAATGATAATGTGGTTGTAAAGAAATTCTTTCTGATTAACTTGTGCCTGCCAACTACATAGTCTTGTGGTGGAATTTAAATTAATAAAAGATGAAGAATACATGGGAAAGTCCAGTGAATGAAAGAGAGAAGTATTGCTTGAGGCTTTCAGTGTGTCTGTATTTTGAGCTTGTTAGTAGCGCATTTGTTGTTAAGTGAATTATATTGAACCTGTTTCATATCTCAGTTCGTTAGTGGGAATATTTTTACAGAATTAATTTACTTTGTTAGAAAATAATCAAGGGAGGAACATAGACTGAGGGTGTTTGAGAACGTGTTGAGGAGAATATTTGGACCGAAGGGAGATGAAGTGACAGGAGATTGGGGAAAACTGCATAATGAGGAGCTTCATAACTTGTACTCTTCTCCAAGTATGATAAGAATGATCAAGTCAAGGAGGATGAGGTGGGCAGGTCATGTAGCATGTATGGGGGAGACTGTGTATAGGATATTTGGTAAGAAAGCCAGAAGGACAATATTAGAATGGATCTTAGAGAGATACGATGGGATGGTATGGATTGGATTGATCTGGCTCAGGATAGGGACCAGTGGAAGGCTCTTGTGAACACAGTAATGAACCTTTGGGTTCCATAAAAAAAAGCTGGGAAATTCTTGAGTAGCTGCTGAATTGGCGGCTTCTCCAGAAGGGCTCAGCTCCATGAGTAAGTAAGTAAGTAAGAAAATAATCTGTTATCAGATGTTTTTGATAATTCCTATACACCTTTAGACTTTTCTTTGTAGCTGATATTTTGCGGTGTACTGACGTATTTCTGTCTAGAGTGTGGAGATACATGAAGTACTGAAACAACTTTCAGCAAATGTTTTTGGGCAGTCTTTGAACATTGATATTCTACAAATTTGGATTAACCATGACTTAATATATACTAAAGCCGATCACAGTGGCTGTGCGGTCTAAGGCATGAATGGTCTTTGCTTACTCGAACGCTGGGATTGTGGGTTTGAATATCACTCGAAGTCATGGATGTTGGCGTTTATTCTGTGTTTGTGTAGGTAGCAACCTTGCAATGGGCTTACACCTTGTCTGAGGAGTCCTAACGACTGGATTAGGATTAAGGAACTCAAGTGGAACAAAGAGTTTTATACATGCCCTATGCTCCAAAGGGGGAGCAACAGGAAAAAGAGAGAGAAATATATGTTATGTTGGAAATTGTCCTTCATCTGAGGTATATTTAATATACATAACTTTCAGAAATTTTATTCTAGTCCTGTACAGGCAATTGGTTATCATTAGACTGACAGGTCACATTGGCAGAGGTCAGGATTGAGCATGGAATCTTTTCAATATTATTTATCTTTTAATTAATAGCAGTGGTTTAGTAATTCTCATACAGGTTTAATTATCAAAGATTTATGGATTCAGTTCCAGCTGCAGCCACAGATTATATGTATACAGTATATGTGGCAATACAATGATCAACTTTCTGATGGGAATAGAGCCATGTCCACTGAAAGGTACAGAGGGTAGATAGAGTAATGGAAACGCTACAAATACTACACACATTACTTTATCAGTATGGTGGTGGATTTTCATCTGCCTTCAATACAACCACAGTCCTTCTTGGAATGGACTCCTACAAGTTTTGAACAGTCTCTAGCAGAATTTTATATCATTTTTCTTGAAGAACATTTTCAAGTTGCTTTAGAGATGTTGGAGGTGGGAACCTGTTCCTCACTCTAGTCTCTAATAAAACTGACCACAGTGGTTCAGTTATATTTGAATGTGGTGATTGTGCCAGCCAGGGAAGATGATAAAGTTCACCTTCCTGCTCCTCAAACATTTCCACGTGAATGGGGGCATTATCATCTTGGAAAACTGCATCATTGTTCGGAAATAACATCTGAATCATGGGATGCACCTCATAACCTAACCTGTCCATGTACTCCTTTGCAATAATTAGGCTATGAAGTGTAATAATGGGACCAACAGAATACTATACCATGATACTGCTGCCCAAACCATCACAGACCCTCCCCCATGTTTTACTCTTGAAACCAGGCATTCCTGGTATAAGCTTCCTTGGGTGTTCTCCAAACATAAGCTCTTCCTGAGGTAGGGGACAGCTTGAAGGTCATTTCATCTAACCATATCATTCACATGTTCCAAGTTGTCTGATGCCTGGATTCTGTGGTAATGACACCTTTGTTTACACATCTTAGCATTACTGTCAGTAATAAGATATTTAGCAATTGCAGCCCTACCATGGATGTTGATTTTTGAAGCTCAGGTTGGACAGTTTTTGTGGAAACAGGGTCTTCAGGATAAATATTCAGTCCTGCTGCAGTAGTTGTGTGATTTTTCGAAACAATCCTTCTCAATGTACTATAATCTCTTTCTGTCAGTGTTGATTTTTGCTTTGTGATTTTTCAAAACAATCCTTCTCAAATACGATGATCTCTTTCTGTCAGGGTTGATTTTTGCCCTGTGTGATTTTTCAAAACAATCCTTCTCAATGTACGACGATATCTTTCTGTCAGGGTTGATTTTTGCCTACTGTTCCTCTTCGCTGGTGTTGTCTTCCCATGATTTGTATGTGCCTACATAACCTTAGAAACCCTCACTCTCAATACTCCTAATAATTTGGCAGCTTTTAACACAGATGCTCCAACTAAATGTACACCAACAATCTGTCCTCTTTCAAAATCAGGTAGGTCTCCCATTTTCTGATTCTTTCACATGGACTGTCACTTAACACAATCACTAATGCACTTACACGAGCACTACAGAGCATAAACAAATGGAGGAACCCTCAGTGTTACCAACTGAAGTTCTTTCAATTTAGCCAACACAAATTCTGTTCCTCAGTTTCTTACTGTTTCCATTATTTTGTCAACCCCTTGTATATGCAGTATATTAAATGCACATCAGACAGTGGACATTATAGTTTGCTAAATTCCGTTGAGACATTCATCATTATGTTGAGGAAGTTTCATTGAAGTGGCTTTGAATTTATTATGTCATGAAGATTTTTATCTTCTGGGATTTAACATCATGTAATCTGGTGAAAGTCAATGCATAATTATGTCCCAGAAGATAGAACCCGTCATGACCACCACTGTGTGAACCTCAAATTCTGCTTATTGTGCCATGTCAGTTGGTATATTTTATTTAGGGTGTATCGAGTTAATTTCTCTCATAAAAAAGGAGGCACCTCTATATTTCAGTTCTCTTAGTGAAGAAGTACAGGTATAAAATCCTAGTGCAATTTCATGACTCAGCCTGACTTGCACTATGAAGCACTTCTCCAACAATGCGTTGTTTTCATCATCAGGGTGCACTGACAAGCAGTAATCCAATCTTGAGATGTGCTGCTGGAGAATCGCTTGGACGCATGGCACAGGTTGTGGCTGACTCTCGCTTCACTGCAGAACTCGCACAGACAAGTTTTGACCGGCTCAAATCAGCTCGTGATGTGGCTTCAAGGACAGGACATTCACTTGCTCTAGGCTGTCTTCATCATTATGTCGGAGGCATGGGATCTAGCCAACACCTCAACACTAGTGTCAGCATATTGCTGGCATTGGCACAGGATGCAACCTCCCCTGTTGTGCAGGTACATTACAGTGTGATTAGAACTGCAGGTAATAGGAGACAAGTGTTATGTGTTAGAAATGAGCAGTACTGCTTGTACACCATAGTTCCATTTCTTAAATTTTGTTTTAGTACATCAAAACCCAAGTACAGGAGCTCTGGAGTTAATGTTGGTTTACACTGAACACATAGGGTTTGAAAGAACACAGTTTTTTAAAAATGCTAGTGTATTATAGAAGTTAAGTAAGTTACACTCATTTATTTATCTGGCAAAATATCATACTGTCTACAGAAATATGCTGGGTATAAGATTTCTTATTAAAGTAGAGGAACAGGTGGTTCTCTTGGATCTAACATTGATGATATAATGCCAGACTCTCTGTAAAGTTAGTAAAGCATAGAGTGCAACGATGAAGGGTTGGAAGTACTGGAAAACTAAGTTTGTTGGAGCTTAAACATATCCTTATATCAGAGTCCACAAGACCATTCTGACTTCAGTCCAACTATGCAAAAGCAGACACAGATTATTCCTTAAGGGAACACACAGTTTGAATGATCCTACTTTGTGGTCTCAAGTTACATTTGTTCTTATGCAGGGGGATTTAATGACCATAATGCACTCTTAACATAATCAGTGGTGATACCACTTAAAATGCAACCTTTTAACAATTTCCTCTGTCACTGATGCATATTTTCAGGCATGATGCAGCAAGTTTCTAGGTAGTGCTTCCATGAAGTGAACCTAAACATTATTGGTTGATCTGACTGTTGATGCTTGCAAGAACTCATTGCATTATCGCCTTTTTGAATGAATCTCTAGTTTACAAGTATTGCACAGTGTACCAATATTGGAAGATGCTAATTCAGAGTGATGAGTCCATTTGTTAGTGTGCTTTTATGATCATCCTTCTGTATTTACCTATTGCAGGTGTGGTCCCTTCATGCACTGGCTCTAATTGCAGACTCTGGTGGACCTATGTTTCGAGGTTATGTAGAACCATCTCTGTCATTGGCTCTTAAATTGCTCCTCACTGTACCACAGTCATATATTGATGTGCACCAGTGTATTGGAAAAGTTCTGTCAGCTCTCATCACCACTGTAGGACCTGAGCTTCAAGGTAGGAAATACACATTAACTATGTAAGTTGCAAATTGCTTTGTGAATAGAATTTCATAAAACGAATTTTTCAGGATTGTCATTATTTTGAAATATATTTATTTTATTTTCAATCCATTTTGTATGTGTATTGCCTTAAAAATAGTAACCTAAACGCAAATGGTCAGGTACTATATGTATGTATACGTCTGCAGATAATGTACAATACGTAGTTCACTATGTTTTGTTATAGTAAGCAGTAAACTGAAGGTGGGAATAGGGTGAACTCCCAAAACATTGTGTGTTTCAACAGATATACTTTAACAATGGACAATTTTCCAAATAATATTGAAGAGCCCAACAAAATCTGTATACACTATAATACCCCTTTAAAGTTTCTTTGAGGAGCAGTAGATTTGAATGCTAAACTGAGGAAAATATTAAGAAATGGATGAAATTTAGCAGTAAGATATTTGACTTGGGATCATTGAAATTGAATGTTAACATATGTTAAATCAAGGGGCATTACATTTAAATAGTATTCCCTGGATCTGAAGTTAGTCAAACTGACTGTACAATGTGGAATATCATATAAATATGAAAGCATATGTACAGTGCAACTGAAGTTTTCACATAAGAAAACCCAAAGAAACAAAGCGCTTACACACAAGGCTGTTCAAAAATACACCCACATATATACATCAATACTGCCAATTTATTGTGGTGAGTTCTTTATAATAAATTTTATTATATTTATTGTATCTAGATTCAGGGACAGCTTGTTTGCAGAAAACCATTTATTCATTTGAGAGAGAACTTTGGTAGAATGCAGAAATCATATGAATTTTTGTTAGAAATTATTACACTAGTTTCATCGTCAAATATTATGGGTATTGATGAGATGTTTAGTATAGGAGACAGGTCATTTATGTAGATTATGGAAAGCAAGGGCCCTAAAATTGACCCCTGTGGATCTCCGTGCTTTATGGTTCCCCAGTTTGGTAAGGTACTTTGGGTTGAATTTGATGATTTATTTCAGTCTTTTGTTTCTATCTGTTAGGTAGGATCTGAAGGAACTTAAATGCCACAAAAAAAATCAGATTTACTTAATAAAATTTCGTGATTTACACAGTCAAAAGCTTTTGCCAAATCACAGAATATTCCAACATGCACATCACTGTATTTTTAAGTGTTCTTGGTTTTCCAAAACTATGTTTTTATTCCCCCCCACCCACTATCTCCCTCTAATCACCTGGAAGCATGCTACTGAAATTCCAGTTTCAGTCTGTCTTGTTTTTATTAGTAAGCGTAATGAGTATTCTGCGGAACAAGGGGTCGTTTGGTTGGTTGGTTGGTTGGTTGGTTGGTTGGTTGGTTTGGTCTAGTCTAATGCTGTCATTGTTGAGACTATATAGCACTGGATGGTATAATTATTCATGAATATAGAGCAGTCGGTAGAATGAGAATTGGCTAGGGAAACCACCAAAGTACTGGAGAACGCCCATCCCAGTGCCATTTTTCCACATGATCAAACTGGGCTGCCGCAGTGGGAAGCCAGTGACCAACTGTCTATTGCAGGGCTATTCATAGCAAAGGATCTGATAATGTGTAAATTGGCTCCAGTGTTGTTGAATGTGTTAAAGGTTCCTTAATTCAATCCTACAATTAATTCTTTTCTTACCTTGCAAAGAAAACATATGTATGGGACTGATCTCCCAGAGTAAAACCCACCCAGAACTCGGAATTATTTATTACTTTGCCTCTATGTGGCCAGACAGACTCGCAAGTCCTATGCAGTGTTGTTTCCCAAAAATAATGAAGACTGATAGAATACATGTATTGTTATACAGTTACAAGATTATGATTTCTTTTTACAGGTTTGCAGACAATAGAACAAAGGATGTAAATAAGTGAGAATCTTTTGTCTGTATTTGCAGGCAACACCACATCAATCTGCATGGCTCGGTCATCTTTCTTGTGTGCATGTGCTGTTATGCAGGATCACCAGGACCCGTTGGTTCAAGCTGAGGCGACAGCTTGTTTGCAGCAACTTCACTTATTTGCACCCCGCCATGTCAATCTTTCCTCTCTTGTACCAACTCTCTGTGTAAGTTCGAAGGATAGCATAACTAACTGACTCCATGGAGGAGAAACCTACTTTGAGAAGCTGCTAGTCACTTAGCAGGTTAAAATATTCTCTGTCTCACATGGAAGCCATGTTTCCTAGAACCCACCACTGGACTCTGAACTGGTGTAATCCATGCTCTCTTTCTTTGTCGCGTTCACATAATTATTATTTGTGACCCCATTCCTTCCAGGTGCCAGGATAACATAGTCGGTATAGCGACTGGCTACAGGCTGGATGACCAAGGAGTCAGAGTTCGAGTCCTCGTATGGTCACGAATGTTCTTTTCTCCTCATTGTCCAGACCATCTCTGAGGTCCACCCAACCTCTTACCTATTGCATACCAGAGGCTTTTTCCCCAAGGGGTAAAGCAGACATGGTGTGAAACTGACCATTCAGCTCCAAGTAGTTCCAAGGTCAAGAAAATTTGGATCTATACATTCACTTCCCCCTTATGCCCACATGGTGTAGTGCTTAATTAGTTAAGCACGGGGACAACTTTAACCCCATTCCTTCCAGTTACAGATTAATTTGCACACAAAAAAAACTTTTGGCATGGGAACATATAAAACTCCTGCTGTCTGCTCTTCTTATGTGCAGACTACTAGAGGAGATCTTAGGGAATGTAATAAGCAGATGATTGTAACAGGACAATAAATTCACAAGTTGGTAATCACAAGAGAATTATGATGCCAGAATTCTTCCAACAGAGGACAGGCAGGGAAAGGTTAAAATCCGTTTTAACATTGTCTTCTGCCTGTTCCTACTTAAGATAATAGGCAATGTTTTTGTTCAATCAGTCTTAGCTGAGGTTACTGATAACCCTCAAGGATAGTATGAAATCCTAAGAATTTAACAAAACCATTGCTTGACAGCACTGCAGTGTATGGTAAGGTAATGAAGGCTACCCAGATACAAATTAAGTGCTTGGCCAATGTGTCATCACATTTTGATACATCCACATATGTCACCAGGTGTAGTAGACTTCTACTTTGACAGTTTTATACAAAGAAATATAAAGTTGTGACTTACTTGAACAGTTTATTGTAGAGACATCACATATCTACTGTTTCAGAGGTCTAGAAATACCTGTAACTTTGGCTTTTTACTCACTTGTAACTTATATTTTTTGCAAGTATTATTACTTTTAATATAGTGAAACACATTCAAATAATCCATTGTTTCTACATCTGAATGGGGTTATTTGTATGCTTACAAAACCAATACTCATTTGACTGTAATAAAGCAGAGAAACCCAAACTTTTATCATTCTTTGGAGCAGACTGATGTCATTCATTTCCTTTATTTTCCATATATTCATACAGGCAAAAATCCTAGGATGTGGAAATAGTCCATTTGATTATAGATGTATACATGTAATAGATTACATAAGTCACACAACTAAAATAACACACACCAGTTAACTAACATAGGTAATATAAAAAAAAAACAAGAGCTTATTACAATTGTAACTAAACATAATTTAAAAAGTGCATTACTATAAAAGCTTAAAATTAATATAATTTTCCCATAAATCAAAATACATTGATACAGGACTCGTCATATACATACATACACATCCTCCACATTGTGTGAGAAGCTATTTTAACAAGGGGATACTCATATATTTTATGATCAGTATTAGTATTAATTAAAATAAAAGAGAGAGAGAGAAAAAGGAATTGTTGCTGTCGTTTAAAACTTCCGTGGAAATGACTTCTGTGATGTAACACAATGTAGTTCACTGAGAGTTTGGAAGAGTGTACTGCTTCCATCTTTAGGGTCAGAGTGAGTTAAGCTAGAAACTACCAAGCAGCATTATCCTTATGGGATACTAAAATATAATACCAAGAAGCAGGTTGTAACAGAGACATATGAATTGCTGTTACACTTTTATAGGAGAAATATTTCTATATTACAGCCCAGTGTATGTAAAGGGAAGAAAAGAACTTTGATTTCATATGGTGGTACCATTGAAGATTAAAGTCCTATAAAACTTCATCTTTTCTAAACATTGGAATGTCCAGGTCATAAAATTCAGTATCTGAAATCCTTGATACATGTATTACATTTGAACATATTTATCTATGAATGTAAGATACCTGCATAGTCATCATTTCTACCCATAATCTGAGAGTGTATCAGTTTCAGCTCCCATATACGTGTTATTTTATTGTTACAGCGCACTTTATCTAGTAATCATTTGTTGCTACGGAAAGCTGCAATTTCATGCTTAAGACAGCTTGCCCAGCGAGAAGCAAAAGAAGTGTGTGAACATGCCATGACTCTTGCCAGTGAAAGCAGAGATACCAACATTGTAGAAGGTAAATTCAACATTATTTCTCTTGCATTTATGATGATTATGAATCTCTGGGTACAGTTTAGGTTACCTTTCTTCCTTCAGATACCCCATTCTATATGATGAGTAATAATTATATAATTTAGTGTACCTCTTCTACATGTTGCAGATATTTTAAATTTGTCAGATATGACATCCAGGATTGCACCAGTTCCATGTTTTAACCGACAACATAAATTAATGGCAGGATTTGAAGTTCTCACAGCAATGACTATAAAATTATTATCTTCTGGTATGTGGCACTGTGTAATCTGCTAGACTGTTATCAGCATTTCACAGGAATCTGCTTCTTTCATCTGTAGACTGTTCTACTCTGAAGGTGAATGAATCAGGTTTCTCCAAACCATTGGTAACATTTGAGCAGACTGCACAAAATCACATCCCAGAAGAATAAGCTTGACAAAGAGTTGTACAGAATTTGTGAGTGTGTTTATGATGTGTATGATACCTCTTCACAAAAAAACTTCTCATACTTGGCTATAATGGTTCAAGACTGTCATTTTAAACTGAAAACTAAATACAGGTTTCACATGGCTACCATGTTATTATATAAAGTAGTTACATTAACAAAAATTGTATGTGTTTTGAGGATCTATTACCATACAAAATTTCAGGTTTCTGCATTACTTGTGTTTTTAGAGAGGAACTTGTGTTTTTAGAGAGGAAAGTACTGGTTTAACCGTTCAGCGTGGTTTGACGTGTATGTTTTGTCAGGTATTTAAATCGTCTGCAGGGGTTCGACGTCTATGTTTCGTCCAGCTGCACACCTATGTTATAACGCCCATAATAATTGATGGTTTTGCTGTAGATTGTTAGATTTTTCGCTGGCCTGTTGTCAGTAGAACAGAGTATAATAAGCCACGAGCTTAGCTGCGCTAAGTCATCGTTACATGTGCCTGTCTTGCAGCAAAGTTCCTGTTGCTCTTGCGAGCAGTTTCCTCGTTCAAGCTGTTATGAATGGCGTGTTTACTTTGCTATGAAATTGTAAACAGCAGAGATGTGATATGTGCTGTGTTTATAATATCATATTGCCCTGAGCTGGCCACACTAACACACTCAATTGGAATTCTTAGAAGAGGGATGTCCAAAAATGTATTCTTGCAAGATCGATTGATTTCGCACAGTACATAGCACCCAGT